GAGAGAGAGAGAGAGAGAGAGAGAGAGAGAGAGAGAGAGAGAGAGAGGGGAAGTACATGAGGTAATTGTGATAGAATGTACCCATCAAGCATGATTTTTCATATCAGGAAAAGATAGGCAATGATAGGCATTGAAGCAATATTTAGGGAGTATTCTTAATCTGGACTGTTTAAAACTGGGGAGATTTTAAGATAAACAGTGAATTTCTCAAGACATGGATTGTGAGATTGGATCATGGGAACAGCTGGGAAAATGTGGGTATCGCAGAACAGGAAAAACAGTTATTTAACTGTTAATCCTGCATAACCCGAGCCAATACAAGACAGCAGTCTGGATGGACTGACTCCTGAGAGACACTTTATACACTTAACTATCTCCAGCCAAGATTCTCATAATTATTAGTGATAGGAAGAAAATAGAAAAAGAATAGTCATCATCAAGAAATTTTTTAAAACAAGATGTGGTCAGTGCCCAGTTTTGCAGGATGGCTAGAATCTGTTTATAGAAAATCAAGGGAAAAAATTAATTCAGTTCTTGATATGGTACTTTTGTAGCATTCCTGAGCCCTATGGTGGGATGTGACCTTTGTGAAGTAGAGGATTTGAATGAGTAGCATTGTTATTTAGATTGTATTGTTAAAAATGGAACGAAATCAAGATAGGATAAACAAAGGGCAAAGTAGATTTAAAAAAAAAGGTCTGCTAGGTTCACTCAGAGCTGTTTGCAACAACTGGGATGCCATGGGACCTTTTCACCAAAATACAAAATGTTATATATCAGTAAGCTTCTAACAGGTTTTAACACCTTAGAAACAGTTTATTGAAGACATAAATGATAAAAACAACATAAAAAAGTTATTGAGCTTTTTCTAGAAATAGGTAGTTATCCCCTACCAGAGTATATGATGTATGTTTCTTCCCTGCAAATAAGTACACTGGAAGAAAAGATTTTCATCCATCATCTTTCAATAACCAGATATAGCTAATGAAGAAAAGAGGTTTTGATGTTGACTCAGAGCTGGTCAGAACCACAGAGCCAGCTGTAGTGGTAGGCACAGCAGGCTACATATTACCCTGCTCCTCTTTAGGTCTGAGCCAGGATAAGCAGCTCAATATGACACAGCCTGAGGGACATAGCATCCCAGAATGTGGAGGCCGGATGGATTATGGAATATGATTGGACTGTAGATGGCTACGTGAATAGTCTCTCATACTCATGCACTTGTACCAATACGGAGTTATAATCATATAATTGATATAAAGAATGAGGGCTTTTCATGCAGTACTCATTCTTGTTCATGATTCTCTACTAGTGTTCTTTCACCCCTCCAAAATCAATTGACTCTTGCTTGAAGTCTATAGTATTGAACCTTCAAAGATCCTGTCCACCTCATGTAAATACACTTCAGTATGTAAGGCTAACTCTTAGGTGTCTTTTAGATTTGAAAGTATCTGTGAAAACAATTAGGGGGTGTTTGTGAAGCCAACATGTGTAAGTAAAAACCAACAAGAACATCACTGCAAGGATCTAAAAGGATGTTAGATGAAATTATAAATGAATAGGGGCACTACCTCCCTAGAAAGTTCCTGAGGCCAAGGAAGCCCCAAGATAGCACAAACCACAAGGCTACCTCTGCTTCTGTTAGTTATGCCAAAACTAGATGATAAATACATGTTGGTAAATACATTGCACCCTTTGGCTACATAATATGAAAAAATCAGGATAGGATAAAACTCAAAGTTCCCTCCCTGAATGCTGGTTTTCATAGTGCCAGAAGATGCAATATAGACTACTTTTGTTTAGATAAACAGTTTTAGAGTGTTCAACAAATCATACTTAAAACACTTGTATTTCTACCCGTAGAGTACTTCTGCTACTAGAATGTAGAGGGAAATCTGACTTTTTCAGTCTCTTTGGAGATTGCAAGCAGTCCAAGCTCCTGAACAAAAGTGACTTTTGTTATAGCATAGTGACTCAATTCTTAGATAGAAAGTGAACATAGTATACATCTACACAACTCTCTCCAACATTTAAAAATGTCTTCAAAATGAATCAAAGGAATATGAGAACCGGGTGAAAGGGTGCAGGGTTGTGTAGTTCTTTCCTTTAAATAGAAACATTCCTCCATAGAGAGCGAAGGAAGACTCAGAACATTTAGGGAGCTAAGGAAACTTAAAGAATCAGGAAGATAGTGCAACTTAGATATCTGTGATTCTCACTCTCAATATTGTTTATAAAACCAGTAAAAGTGCTTCTGAGGAGAAGATTATTTCAGTGGAAGTTATATGTTGAGCACAGAGCTCCAAGACAGCAAGTTTCATGAGTCACCATTTACACTGGGAAGGATCTTTTAGTTATGAAGTTATCCTTGAGTTATGCACATTTTCCAAGTAAGTTCAAGGAACTTATTGGTCCACCAAACTGGACTTGGGTGGAATCTATTGTAGATGTTGTATCTGAGATTATATGTTCATATCTTCCCATGACAAAACATACAAAAATGTCTATCAAAAACCTAAAATTAGAAATTTTAAGAATTAGAATTCTTAAATTAAGAATAGATAATTAAATTAGAATTGATATATCTAGTGTTACTAGTACTGGGCGGATACTCCCAAAGACTCCAAGTCAGTATGTAACAGATAACTGTATATCCTGATCTACTGAGGCACTCCTTAAAACAGCCAAACAACTGTGAGATAAGTTTTGATGCCTATAAACAGAGGAGTAGATAAAAATATATAAAAATGTGATATACATTGATGGTGAAGTTTTACCCAGCTATCAGAAATAAAATTGTCATTTGTAAGGAATAAAGTGAATATGACGAGGTAATTAATATTTTAACTGATAAACTCAGAAATATAGATATCGTCATTTTCCTTATTTGTGGATGGTACAGTTTACATAGATACAAAACACTGTTAAAGTATGTATGATGTTAATGCTAAAGCAACATTCTCTGGGAGGTAAAGGGATCATGAATAAAAAGGAGACAAGCAAATTTTCTAGGGGTGGCAATATGGCTAATGATTAATGTATATCTGAATGAAGATATGTTAAATATACTCACCACTAAGTGTTATGATATGTGGGGATGAATATGTACCAATAAAATTAGTATTCTCAAACTCCTGTATATTTTCCCTATAGTTCTTCTTTCTAGAACACATTTAGACCCACTAGATCTCCTCCAATGAATGGAGTATGGACTCCCCCTAATGATCTGGAAACGAATGTTTCTGCTTTTCTCTGAAATTTCTGGATTTCCTCCTTTATGTGTCTAATTCCTCTTCTGAACATTGCTATATGACTGAAACAGCTGCCATTTTCAACCTCTGCTGTGGGGCATAGTGTGTTTTCACACTTTTCAAAGCCACAATTTCACAACTTTATGCTAGATAATACCCTGTAAAGATAAACTTTCCAGAGATTTTCTTTATATTGATATTATCCAAGATTTTTATGTACGTATTTGCAATCAAGAGACACACATGCATACACACACACACACACACACACACACACACACACACACACAGAAAGAGAGGGAGAGATATGGAGAGACAGAGGCAGAGGCAGAAACACAGAGAGAGACAGAGACAGACTGGAAATGGAGGAAATCTTTTGAAACCTCGGAGGAGCCCAGTGAAATATCTCCTCAGTCAACAACACACCTTTTAATACTTCCCCCCAAATTCCAACTGAAGACCAATAAGTATGAGCCTATAAGGGCCATTTTCCTTCAAACAACCACAGTGACTAAAGTTTTGTAGCTGAAGGATGCAAACTACCTATGGCAGTAAATTCTCACATTATATAAATTAGGGCCTATTAGGCAGTTTAGAGGTCTTCAGAACTATCCTCTTTTCTGTATCTTTAAAACCTAGAAAAAAATAATAAGTAAGACATGACTCTGTCTCTTCACTCTTAATAATGTCTACTCATGACAAGTGAGATGGAATAAAGGAAACTTTAGCTACTTTCTACTGGACCAGCTTAATCTCAATCCCAAATGTGCAACACCTTAAAAACATGTATCCCTTTTGTTCCTGTCCTCTTATATTCTAACACTAAATCTATCCTTCTTCTATGAATATAAGAAGATAGCATAAAAAAGTAGCCCTTACACTTGTACCCTGATAATGTATTCTACACACACACACACACACACACACACACACACACATGCACACACACACACAATATTGATTTCTTGATGTATTTCTTCCAATGTAGAGTACTTTTGTACAAATATCACATGATTGTAACGTTATTTTTTTTTCTGTAGGTAGCTTCTCTGAGGCAATATGTCATTGCTTAAAGGGTGCAATGGTACTCGTGATTTCAGTGCTAGCAATTATAGGAACCATGCTCATTTTGCTACTATTTCAAAGAGGTACGTATGAAACAGGTAGATGCCATTCTGTTAAAATATTCTCCCAACTGCACAGTAAGACATTTAGAAAAGAACAAGATTGTTTTTTGAACTTCAGAGTCACTAAGCCACTAGAACATAGCCACAATGTCTAGACTCCAGAGCCCTGAATTTTATAAGATTAATAGTAGATTTAGCTAATTATTCTGTTCTAAGAAAAAGACTTTTTCAAATTCATAGTGTTTTTCTCACGAATTCAGTATTCATAATTACCTAACAGATTGTTCTGAATGTTTTATACATTTAATGTAAAAGAGATAATAGTTCACGCATTTAATTTCTTTTTTATTTTTTTATTGGATGTTTTATTTATATTTCATATGTTATACCCTTACTCCATCCCCCACCCACCCAGGAACCCCCTATCCACTCACCCCTCCTCC